TGTGTGTGTGAAGGTGAGCTGTCTCACACCACTGGAGAGGACACTCCAGCGACACTGCACAGCGTTGACACAACACGGAGATTGGCAGTTACCAGTTATAAGCTACAATGCTCAATTGGCGTAAGGAGGAGGAGGAAATCTGTAATAATTATAAGAAGAATAAGAAGGAAGAGGAGAAGGAGGAGGAGTAGACAGTGGCGGAAGGGGGAGGAGAAGGAGGAGGAGGTGGAGGAGGAGGTGTGGGAGAAGGAAGAGGAGGAGGAGGAAGGGGGGGGAGGAGGAGGAGGAGGAGGAGGAGGGGGACGGGGAGGAGGAGGAAGAGGAGGAGGAGTAGGCGGCGGGGGAGGGGGGGAGGAGGAAGAGGAGGAAGGGGGGAAGAGAAGGAGGAGGAGGAGGAAGAGAAGTAGGTGGCGGCTGAGGGGGAGGAGGAGGAGAAGAAGTAGGTGGCGGCTGAGGGAGAGGAGGAGGAGGAGGAGGAGAAGGAGGAGGAGGAGGAGGAGGAGAAGGAGAAGAAAACTAGGTTTAATAAGACGGAGAAGAAGGAGGAGGAGGAAATTGCTGGTGTAGTGTATGTCTGACTAAAACGTTAAAGAGTTTTACAATAGTCCCTTTCTGTCCATGAGCTTCTGTCGAGGGCTTAGAATACCTTGAGTGGGCGTCCAAAGAGGTTTTTCTCTTCGCTTGTGGGTCGGTCCATTGTGTGGTTGTTCGTTAACTGTTTTCTCTCGTTTCCCCCTCTTTCTTCTTCACCCTTTGTTAATTTTTCTGACATTGCTTACTCGTGGCAACACCATATTCTTTTTCATCCTTCTCCGTAATTCTCACCTAGACGCCATCTATAATCCAGAAGTAAAGTTATGCAGAGAGGTCTCCATGTGCTATTCTTGACGCTTTGTTCCGTTGTAGTGGAAAGACCTTCGACCACTGCTCTGAATAAATCGGGTCGCTTACAACGAATATTAGATTTAACCATGGAGTGACCGAGGAGAGGTAAAAAAACGCTCAACAATAAAGTGACGACTGATTCTGATCCCTGGTCGTTTGATTTTAAACGGTAAGAAATCTGATCTTTCACCTCACGTTTTATTTTTAACGAGTTCTCTGTGTTTCTAATTATATTATATCCTGGCTTCACTTTTGTTTGATAATCAGAGGCACGTTCCTCTTTAAGCTTGGTGAAATGTTAACGTACGAAATATTTAATCTTGCGCAGTTCACAGTGACTTATGCAATCCACTGCCAAAGCACAAGGGCAATCAATTCAGCCAAGAGAGAAGCGCCACAGACCGTACCTTTTTGTAAGAGGTCTAACAAAACGGTTTCCACCACAATTGATCTTTCTAAAATCCAAGTTTCACCCTAGAGACAAAAAACATTACTTCAAGATGTTTTTTCTTATTTCTTTCTTTTAGGAAGTGGAAAAGGGTAAGAAAAATAACTTATTCAGCCGAAGAATATAAATAATTCATCCATGTTTAACTTGTTAAGCATTTTTAACAAGGGACAAACGCACGGTGTTGTATTTGTAATGAAGATTATCCTTGACAATAATTAATGTAGACGATTCTGAGAGACCAAAGATAATTTATGACATCGATTCACAGTCATCATGGTTGTACCGCACTCACTTCCAGGAAGTATATTTTGTATGATGAACAAAGTTTTAAATTGTGTAACTTAACTTTTGTTTATGCCTCTACTATGAGAATGAAATCTCAGATGACAGTTTTTAGAAAACACAAGAGTCACATATCAGAAAAAGCATAATGCTTGTTGAGCGGCGTTCTCTGTCAGCAAGACATCTCCGGGCAATGTGTTGGTAGACTTCCAGACAAAGGAACAATAAATGAGCTGCAGCGATCCCCAGACTGCATGAAATCGGCAATGTCTCCCTATTAAAAAAAATCATCCTTTTATAGCTTCAAACTGTCTCTAATACAAGTTCACTTTGAAACGCTACCTTGTTTACACCTATACCTCAGCATCTGTCAACTTCGCCGTCTATTGCAAGAGTTGTCAAACTTAAAGCGTAAGTTGAAAGATAAGTCTAACCTTACAGTATTAAGTAGGTCACTGGATTCACATACTGCTATTGTGTGTGAACAGTCGATGTTATAGAAGTCTTGTAGGGGATAGATCTACTTCCGGTTCACTCACATTTTTCAGTTCATATGCATTCAAAATTCAATGGAGTCGTCGGTCTTCTATCGGTGGTCTTCATCAGGGGATACTTTGAAAACATTGTGAAGAATGATGAGGCTGCGTTTGATGCTGAACTCAACAACGGTTACAGTGGATCAGAGAGAGCCAGGGACCTGGCTGATCAGGCCCTTTCGGTCTTTACCCAAACTAAATTCCGATAAGGCGTCGCGAATCGTCCAGCCTTCATTTGATGGCTGTTTAGGGGTCAGGCGCTTGGCTCTGCCTACTCCCGAATGGCTCTTAGAGGCGGGATTTAAGTTCATGCTAACTCATTCCTCGTGGCTTCCAAGGGATAGGA